GCCTGGGCGAGGGGGCGGCACTCACGTCGATGGAGCAGCCCAGCAGCGAGCCCCGCTCCAGTGCCTTGAGGATGATCTGGTAGAGGTCACTGGGGGCCTTGCGCAGCTCGTACCACTCGGTGACGCCGCCCGTGAAGTCCTCGAAGCCCTCGGACGTGCTGCCCCCGGACAGGGCCTCGTAGCTGCCGTTCACCCTGCCGGCAGGTCCGGGTCAGCGCGGGGGCGCCAGGCGGGGCCAGGGCCCTCCCCCTCGGGGCCCTACTCACTTGGCGTAGGCCTTCTCCAGCAGGGCGCTCCAGAACTCGTTGCCCTGGGCGGAGTGCACGAACACCAGCTTCCCGTCCTTGGTGGGCAGCAGGTCGTCCACGACCACATCCACCCACTCCCCGAACTGCCACAGCTGTGGGGGAGGGGCGCAGTGAGTCCCCGCCCTCAGCCCTGCCGCTTGCCGGATGCTCGGTCCTGGGTCGGGTACCCGGACCTGCACCGGCTGCATGTGTTCCAGCGCACGGAGCTAGAAGCTGCTACATGCGTGTATTCGCATGTGCAAGATACATGCCGGGGGCAGGTACAGAAGGCCCCCCGTTACCCAGGGTTTCACTCACTAAGTAACTCAGGGTGTTGAACGGAACACTCCAGAAATAGACAATTGGTACATTTGAAGTCACATGCCGCTCTGATCGCCCCAGACATGTACCGCCCCCTGACCCGGGCACCCACACCATACACGATTCCCGCCCGCTGGTCAGTAACTGCCTCAGCGTCAGGCAGCTGTGGGCACTCTGCTTGCCCAGGGTGCTCGGCACTCCCCGCGGCCTTGGGCATCCACCGGGGGTCTTCTAGTGTATGCCCCTCGGATAAGGACTTGGTCACGCGCGGGGGACTTGCACAGCTTGTGGGAAGTGGACACAAGGCTCGACAGCCAGGCTTACACGGGAGCCTTAGAGTTCCTGGCAGCGGCGGGCACTGTGGCTCAGTGGGTTAAGCCGCCGCTTGGGACACCCTCATCCCACACTGGAGTGCCTGGTTCAAGTCCAGGCTACTCCACCCTCTGTCCTGGCTTCCTGCCTCCCTGGGAGGCAACAGGTGACAGCTCAAGTACACAGATCCCTGCCTTCCACGTGGGAGACCTGCGTGCAGTTGCTGGCTCCCGGCTTCAGACTGGCTCAGCCCTGACCACTGCAGGCCTTGGAGACGTGAGCCAGTGCATGGAAAATCCCCGTCTCTCTCTCCCCCTTTCAAATAAATAAACATCCTTTTAAAAATTCATGAAAATTCACATTATGCCAAAAAAACCCCTATGGATTTCTATTATTTCTGCACCAAGATAAACTTTTAATTCCATTTTCCACAAGCTTCTTGAAGTACCCTCGTGTAACAGACCGCGCCATTGGGCTACGTATTTGGAGTGTCCTAGCTGCACGGAGAGCTTCCACACAAACTTAGGGACGTGTGCACGGGGTGGTCCCGGCTGCCCAGCCTCTCCCAGCCCCAGCTTCCCCGTAATCGGGCGCCTCCTCAGCTATGGGCGAGTTGGAAAGCCCCCCCCCCCCCCCCCGCCTTTTACTTCTCGCTCCATCTGGGCTTGGGGGTGGGGGGCAGGGGATCCATTAGGGACGGACAGAAAACCTGGCCTGCAGACCCTGCAGCCTCAAGACGGCGGGGTTGGCTCTGGCAAACGCTGGGTGTGCTGCGGGGACGGCTTTTCCAGGCCAGGAGCAGGGCTCGGGGGGCCCAGGATCTCAGCTCCGTGGGCCAGGGGCCACCCAGCGCTCCCAGCACCGTGGGAGGGGCTGGGGCCGGAACAGTGCGGGAAAGCGCGGAGGCGGGCCCAAGGAGCAGGGTTTGCGGAGGGAGTGTTGAAAGCGCCAATCGGAGGCTGGGGAGAACTGGATTGGAGGAGCCGGGAAAGGGGGTGGGGAGAGGGGCGGGGAGGCCAGGCCCCTGCGGACCAGACACCGGCAGGTGCGGCTCTCCGCTCGGTGGGTCTGTGAGCCCCCTCCTCCTGCGCAAGGCGGGTGAGGACGGCTCGGGTGAGGGGGTCGCTACCCAAGCGGAAGGAGGGGGCGCCCAAGAGTCTTTCGAGCAGAGCTAGGGCCAGCAGGGCCCCAAGATGTCACCCAGGGTCGCTGGGTGTGTTGTCTGCCAACACCGAGAAGCCATTAACACGACCCCAAAACTGTGAGCAAACAGCGTCAGGAAAAGCTGGGCCGAGCCCTTCTTCCCGCCTGGGCTCTGGCTGAGGGTGCCAGAGCGCTCGAGGGGTTTTGTGGGTCGGGCGATGGCCAGGTGGACAGAGCCTTGCGTCTTCCGGAGAGAACAGAACGCTCTCTTCTCTAGCGGGGAAGCGGAGGCCCGGGGGGAAGACAAGGCTTCTACCCAGGAGACCTGCCCGCCCAGCGCACGCCCAGCGCCGCCCAGCTGCCTCACACACGACAGACCTGAGATGGCACCCAGAGGTCACATACCTGTGAGAGGGAGGGCTGCGCCCGCGGGGAGGGCCCTCAGCCGCCGGAACTTCCCCGCGTCCTGCCAGCGTCTCCCCCAAACCCGCTTGTCTCCCCCCAGGGCCTCTCACCTGGAAGTGGAAGATGCCGGCATAGCCGTCCTGGAAGCTCTGGCCGTGTGGGACCACTCGGTGCAGGAGGGTGTCATTGAGGGTGAGGGAGGCGATGGCAGCCAGCAGCCAGCAGTCCCCTGGGAGGGCAGGGACCCTGGTCAGGCCGGCTCTTCCACTCCGCCCCAGGAGAGCGCCCCAGGGTGCCCATGCTGGGGAGAACCCGGGGCTCCCTGGGTGGGGTCCCCCTTGGCTTACAGAAAATACCCAGGAATCTGGGCCAACCAGCCGCAGCACCGATAGCCAGAGCCTGTCCCGGCTTGTGGAAGGGAGGAGCTGGGCAGAGCCCAGAGGAGCGGAAAGGGGATGGGGACTCTCGTGGACAAAACACCCAGAAGCCCAGTCCCCAGGGACCTACCCAGCGCTCCCTGGCAGATGTCTGTGCGGGTGGCTCCGTCCACGATGAACCGCGGGTTTGACAGCAGCTCCTACAAGAGCAGAGGCTTGTCTCCCACCCCGGAGCCCACTCCCCACCAGGGGCCTGCAGCCCCCACCCTGCTCTTCACCCTGGAAGGGGGGTCGGCCAGGGCCTGCCAGGGGAGGGGGCTCTCACCGTGGGGCGCTTCCACTTGATGCCGTAGGTCTTGGAGGAGTTGGGCCCCAGCTCCTTGTAGCCCAGGCTCTGGGGTACCGGGGGGAAGGCCTCGTCGCGGAAGAGGGCCCCGCTCTGCAGGCAGTGCATCCGTAGCTGCTCGTAATCCTGGCCCAGGTACTTGATGGCGTTTTCATGCCGGCCCAGGCCCAGCTCCTTGGCCCGCTGCTTCTGCACTTGGGCCGACACCCCGGTGCAGTACACCGGCGTGATGATCTCTTCGGCCATCCTGCAGGGCAGAACCGGGGCTTGGAAGCCAGGCCTCCCCGGCACCAGACGCAGACTCCCACCCCTGGCCACCGTCAGGGAGCTGGGCGGTCGCCCTGTGCTCCCAGGATCCGGGAAGGGGGCTCCCCGGCTCCCAAGTGTGCTGCCCAGAGCCAGTCATTCTCCCCACTCCCATTGTCTTGAGCCTCCTGCCTGCGGTCAGCCAGGTCAGGTGCGGCAGGGCGGAGCCCTCCTCCAGGGCACTGGCTGTTGGGAGACCCCTGGGAAGGCCTCCCTGACCCTGTGTGCCCGCCTGTACCCCCCTCCCCAAACTACCCAAGCCCCTGGACACCGCCCCTCTCTCTGGCTTGGGGACGCAAAACCGCAGGCAGTCGGGGTCCCTGAGATGGGCTGGGAGATCAGGGCTGGCCCCAGCCCAGCCCCACGGACGGTGGTGAGCGCAGGCTGGGGTTGGGCGACTGGGTTGTGCCGCGTCCGTCCGGAGCCCCCGACTCGGTCCCAGGCTTGGCGAGGGGCAGCCCGGGTCAGGAAGTGCCGCTCCTTACCTGGGGGAGGGGAGGTGGGGGTCGCCGCAGTCCCTGGGGTTGGCTTCCCGGTGGCAGCTCAGAGCAGGGCCCAACCAGGAAGAGCGCTCCTCCCAGTCCTCCTCCCGCCGCCCCTCTGCGCCGTCCCTCCCTCCTTCCCTCCTCCTCCTCCTCCTCGGCCCCCAACCAGGCTTCCCACCCCCGGCCTCGCTTATCTCCCGGCCGCCCCGAGCTCACGCCGGCTCCCCGCCCCTCCCTCCGCAGGCCCCCGGCCAGCTCCGCGAGAGGACAAATTAGTCCAAGGCAGGGTTGTCCCCGGGGAGGGGCCAGCGCTGCTCGGGCGGGGCGGCCTGGGCCCGGGCGGAAGGGCACGAGGAGGGGGTGCGGGTGGGGCAGGGCAGGGCCCGGGTATTTTTAACCGGGGCCAGTAGCTCGGGTTGCAGGGTATTCCCGGCGATGGGCCGCGCCCCGCCCCGCGCCCCTCTCCCCGCGGGCCCGCAGCCTGCGCGCACCCCCGCCCTCCAGGCCCCGCCGCCCCCAGAGCGGGGCCGAGATTCCCGCCGCCGAGCAACCAGCAACCGCAGCCCAATCCTCACCCCCGCGCCGCCAGGGGTCCCGGGAGCTGCGGACTCCCGGGCGCGGCGCGGGAGGCGGCCCCCCACCCCGGCCCGGGCTCTTTGCGTGACCCTGGGTAAGTCTCCGTCCCGCTCGGCCTTAACGCTCCTGTTCGTGTCGCGAGTGGGGTGAACGTGAGCCACGGTGGGACCCCACCTTCCTGGAGCTTCTTGAACCGGGAATCGGGGAGAGGCGGCTACCCCTGTCCTGGGTGTCCCCTGTCCTGGGTGTCCCCCGAACCCTCGGCCCACCCGCCTGCGGGCGCCGTGTGCGGCCGGCTCGCCCACCAGAGGGCGGCAGAGGCCGCGAGCAGGACCGCGGGCCCACCCGGGACCCGCAGAACCTGCCGTGCAGGCTGCAAGAAATTGGAGTACGGGGAGGGGGCTGCGAGGGGCCCCCAGCTCCTGGCTGGTGGGTGTCGGGACCGTGGGCTTACACGCAAGCCGCGGGGACAGTGCCCAGCTCTCCTGGGATTCCGGACCTCCCAAAGCGAAGCCGATCGATCAGGTCTAGGAGGGACTGCAGCCAGGGAGGGCGGAGCCTGCCTGAGCCCCTCGCGGGTGTCAGGGCCAGGATCCGCTCCGGCCACAGCCCCCATACCGCTGGCCGGTGTTTGCAGAGCAGAGACCCCTGGCTAAGGTGGAGCCTCCCCTGTGCAGGCTCCAGTGGTGGGGGGGAGGTGATTAAGGAGGCAGAGTCTGGCTGTAGAGGAATATGAGTTGGCTGTGTAGTCAGGGGCTGGGCAGGATTCTCTGCAGAAGGGACAAGAGCAGAGAGAGGGGCTGGGGACACTCGTCGGTGAGGGGTTTCTGGGGGTAGGTCACAGGAGGCAGCGAAAGCCATCCTCCCCTCAGAGCCCTGGCTCAGCCCGTGAGCCCCACCGGCCCCACCGCCACTCGCCCACGCCTTGTGTTTGCTGCTGACTGCGCGGGCCTGGGCCAGGTGCTGCATGTGCAGGCGGACGTGAGTGCCCAAGGCCTTGGCTGCCCTGGAGGACGCAGGCATCCCCGGGGCAACTGGACCACGCAGGGCCGCTGGGGAAGTGCCTCGCTGAAGCCGGACCCAGCGCAGGCGAAAGGGTAGGTACGGAGGGCAGGACCACGAATGAAGGCAGGGGCTGCAGGCGGGGGCAGACGGGGAGCAGAGGGTCAGGGTGAAACACTCCACGAGGCTGGGCTTTGGCCGGGCAGTTCCCGAGACACTGACCAGGATGGCCACGCCCACACAGGCCTGCCTGGGTTCGACACCTGGCTCCAGCTTCCTGCTCATGCAGACCCCGGGAGGCAGCGGCGACAGCACAAGTAACTGAGTCCCTGAGTCCACGCCAGCGGCCTGCATGAAGCTGCCTGCTGAGGCCCAGCCCGGTTCCAGCTCCTGGGACGGGGGAGTGAAGTAGCGGGTAGGAGCTCACCCTCACGCTCTTCCTGCCTCTTAAAGCAAGAAAAGGCAAAGCAAAACTAACCAACCAAGTGGCTGTCGTGGGTATCCACGGACAGAGGATGGTGGTGCCACTCGGGGGGTGCCTGGGAGCCGGCGGTAGATGAAGTTGACAACTGCAGTCAGGTATCGCTTATCTATGGGGAAGCTGGAGAAGTGTGTCACTGTGCGGACTTCACAGGGGCAGCGTCCACACGGCTACAAGGTGTAGGTCAGTCACCCCGTGTGGCCTCTGGATGCCACCAAGAGATGTGGTAGGGACGGGCACCGTGGCACAGCAGTTAGGTGACTACCTGGGACGCCCACGTTCTATAATCAGAGTCCCCTCTGCCGGAAGCCTTGAGCTTCCTCCAGGTCTCCCACGTGGGCGCAGGGGCCCAAGTGCTTGGGCATCTTCCCCTGCTTTCCCAGGCACATTAGCAGGGGGCTGGATCGGAAGTGGAGCAGCCAGGACTTGAACCTTTGTTAGTAGAAGGAGGACACCCGAAAATAGCAATAACAGGCATAAGACACTAAATGCGAACCCCACCCCCGGCTGTTCAGCATCAAGATCGATTTTCCTGCCGTGTGCAACAAGTGTGGACGCCTGGGCGCCCCAGGCTTGTTCCTGCAGCGTCACCATGGAGACGCTGCGCGATGACAACACAGCAGCCACCGTGCTGCGATGTCACGAGACAGCTGTGACCCTGGGACAGCTCCAGCGTCACCGTGGTGGTTCTCCAGCTCCGTCCTGGTCACGCGGCGTCACTGCTGTGTCAGCTTGGTCTCTCCTTGGCTGGCCGGCCCTGATGCTGTGCCTAGGATGCCCCAGACAAAAACCTAACTCAGACGGGACCGTGCACCTAGATGTAACCCCCCAAGCACTAAAATTCCTAAAAGCAACACTGGAGAAAATCCTAATCTTGAGTTTGACAAATGTTTATTAAATGTGACATGGAAAGCATAAACAAAAAAGAATCAGTAAACCGAACCTCAAAACAAAACATTTGGGGGGTGGATGTTTGGCCTAACAGTTAAGACAGCAGTGGGTACACCCACTTCCCATTTCAGAGGGCCTCGTTTCTTTTCTTTTTTTTTTTTAAGATTTATTTATTTATTTGAAAGTCAGAGTTACACAGAAGGAGAAGAGGCATAGAGAGCAAGAGGAAGAGCAAGAGAGAGAGAGGTCTTCCATCCGCTGGTTCACTCCCCAAATGGGTGTAACATTTGAGGCTGGGCCAGGCCAACGCCAGGAGTCAGGAGCTCCATCCGGGTCTCCCGCGTGGGTGCAGGGGTCTGAACACTTGGGCCATCTTCTGCTGCCTTCTCAGGTGCATGAGCAGGGAGCTGGATCAGAAGCAGAGCAGCCAGGACTTGAACCCAGTGCTCCAACATGGGATATCAGTGTGGCAGGCAGTGGCTTAACTCACTGCACCACAATGCTGGTCCCCCAGATACATTTTAAACATAATGGGGCTGGCATGGTGGTGTAGCCGGGGAAACTGTTGCCTGCGATGCCAGCATCCCATATGGGTGCCGACTCAGTCCCGGCTGCTCCATTTCCAATCCAGCTCCCTGCTAATGTGCCTGGGAAAAGCAGCAGAGGACGGCCCAAGTGCTAGGGTCCCTGCCACCCATGTGGGAGAAGTGGAAGAAGCTCCTGGCTCGACTTCCGCCTGGCCCAGCGCTGGCCGTTGCAGCCATTTGGAGAGTGAACCAGAGGACTGGAAAACCTCTCTGCCTCTCTGTAACTCTGACTTTCAAAATAAATAAATCTTGGCCGGCGCCACAGCTCACTAGGCTAATCTTCCTGTGGTGCCGGCACTCCGGGTTCTAGTCTTGGTTGGGGCGCCGGATTCTGTCCCTGTCGCTCCTATTCCAGTCCAGCTCTCTGCTGTGGCCCGGGAGTGCAGTGGAGGATGGCCCAGGTGCTTGGGCCCTGCACCCGCATGGGAGACCAGGAGAAGCACCTGGCTCCTGGCTTCGGATAGGCGCAGCACTGGCCATAGAGGCTATTTGGGGGGTGAACCAACGGAAGGAAGACCTCTCTCTGTCTTTCTCTCTCACTGTCTAACTCTGCCTGTTTAAAAAAAAATGAATAAATCTTTAAAAAAATGTTTTAAAGTCAATTTTGTTTGTCAAAACATGATTAAATAGAAATGAAAAACAGGCCATAGGCCAGGAGGAGATATTTGAAGAAACTATTTCTGATGTAGGGCTTTGTGCTTAGAACTTCTACAAAGAACTGTTAGGCCTTTAAAAAAAATCCAATAAAGCAATAAAGTGGGTCAAACATTAGAACACACTTCATCCCACGAGATACATGGATTGCACACAAGCACATGAAAAAATGCTCGGCACACTACTCATTGGGGAAATACAGATCAAAACTCCTGCTAGAGAGACTAACACATCAAAAATTGGCCACACGAAGCGTCAGGGATGTGGAGGCCTGGAGCGCTCCTACACTGGGGTGTGTGTGTGTGTGTGTGTGTGTGATGAAGCCACCACTTTGGATACGGGTCAGAAGTTTAAAATTCAGCAATAAAAAGAAATGAAAAGACACGGCGCAACCTTCGATGCTACTGCGTGAAAAGCTACGTAGTGTGTGATTCCAGAGCCGTGGTATTCTGAAGAGGCCCAGTGGGGACCAGGGTGAGAGGAGGAGGGGAGCAGGCGGCGCTGGAGGCGTTTTTAGGCAGTGGGCTCGCCCTGTGTGCTGCTGCCCACCGGGCACCTTGCATTTGTCGAAATGCGCAGGCTTCGGTTAGTAACAGTGTATCAGTGTGGGTAACATCGCTGCAGGATTGGTGCTGGCTTGTAACCAGGATACCAAACCGGTGCAAGAGCTGCATATGACGACCCATAAACCTACAACTGCTCTAAAAAAGCGTATTTTAGAAAAAAGAATGAAACAGACACATGCGAGTGGGAAGCGCCAGTGCAGCCTTGGTTCTCCGGTGCCCGGGAACGCCCTGCAGTTCCGACACCTGCCTGAAGGCGGCGGCAGATCCCACAAGTTGAGTGCTCAGCCTCCGAGCCGGCCCCCACTCCCCGAACTCCCCGAACAGCCAGCCGTGTCGCACAGAGGGAACAGGGCTGCAGGTGAGGGACAGGGGTGCGGAAGGGGCGTGGAGCCTCCAGGCCCTCCCCCAGCGGGTCACCCTGCAGGAGCCCCGGTCCTGTCCTCTGGGGGTTGGATGGAGTGCTCATCGCAGAGGGGAAGCTAGCTCCGCCGGATGCTGGGAAGTGAATGGGGAAGCCCGGCGGGGCCCGCGCACCCTCCCGGCCCTGTCTGCGCAGGAGCCCTCTGCCGCGAGGAAGGGCTTAGGCCCTGCTCTCCTAAGGCAGGTCGGAGAAATTCTAGATTCTGAGGCTGGCCTTGGGTGGGGGTGGGGAGCTGTGGATCAGGAAGCAGGAACAAGATCAAGAGGCAGGCGCCCAGAGATGCCCGCTGCTGCAGGACCCATCCTTCCGGTGCTAAGCAGTCACTGAACGGCCGGCGCCGCGGCTCACTGGGCTAATCCTCCGCCTGCGGCGCCGGCACACCGGGTTCTAGTGCCAGTCGGTCGGGGCGCCGGATTCTGTCCCGGTTGCTCCTCTTCCAGGCCAGCTCTCTGCTGTGGCCAGGGAGTGCAGTGGAGGATGGCCCAAGTGCTTGGGCCCTGCACCCCATGGGAGACCAGGAGGAGCACCTGGCTCCTGCCATCGGATCAGTGCAGTGTGCAGGCTGCAGCGCACCGGCCGCGGCAGCCATTGGAGGGTGAACCAACGGCAAAGGAAGACCTTTCTCTCTGTCTCTCTCTCTCACTGTCCACTCTGCCTGTCAAAAAAATTAAATTAAAAAAAAAAAAAAAAAAAAAAAAAAAAAAAAACAGTTACTGAAAACAAGCGAAGGCATGGAAGGACTGGTGTGGAGGCGTTCACGGCCTGGTTCCAAACTGGAAATGACCAATGGGCATCCGCGGGCGATGGGTGGACCAATGGGCGGATACGCAACAAAACTCCCTGGCAGGTAGCAGGCAACCCGGCATTACACAGCACCCCAGGGGCATCCTGAGTTCTACAGAGCACAAGACAGATGTGAGTGCACTCCTTGGAACATTCTGGAAAGTGCACACTAATCTAGCATGCACCCAGGTCAGCAGGTGCCTGGGGGGTCCTGGCAGGCGGGAGAGAGTGGGAGGGAGAAGTTGGGGGTGAGGAGCGTGCATGTGGCCTAGTGGTTAAGACAGCTGCATCGGGGGCTGGGGTCGTGGTGTAATGGGTTAAGTCGCCTCCTGCAGCTCCAGCATCCCGTATGGGCGCTGGTTCGAGACCCAGCCCTGTCTCAACCCCAGCTGTTGCGGTATCTCAGGACTGCTCTCTCTTTTGTATCTTGCCCTCTACAATAAATAAAAAATAAAAGCTTGGGGGCCGGTGCCAAGGCATAGTGGATAAAGTTGCACGCTACAGCTCTCTACTAATGCACCTGGGAAAGCAGCAGAAGATGGCCCAAGTGCTCGGTCCCCTGTACCCACGTGGGAGGCCCAGATGAAGTTCCAGGCCCCTGGCTTCAGCCTGGCTCAGCCTCGGCTGTCACAGCCATTTGGGGAGTGAACCAAAGGATGGAAGGTCTCTCTCTCTCTCTCTCTCTTTGTTTTTCTGCCTTGCAAATAAATAAACAAATCTAAAAAAAAAAAAATAGCCCGTAATCCTCCCATTCATAGGACAATGGAGCTGACTGGAGTTGGATGAGGTCATGATGGTGATGCCCACAAAGCCATTTGTGGTTTTGTAAGAAGAGGGAGGAGACGCTGAGCACGGCCACCCGAGACCAACCCCAGACACCAGACCCCACTCCCCGAGGTCCTGGCCACCACACAGTGAACCCCTGTCCTTAACAAGTCATGTGGTTTGTGGTATTTGGTTACAGCAACAGAGCATGGTTTTAGACAGGGTTTTGTTTTTTTTTTTTTTTTAAGATTTATTTATTTGTTTGAAAGGCAGAGTTAAAGAGAAGCAGAGGCAAAGAGAGAGAGAGAGAGAGAGAGAGAGAGAGAGAGGTCTTCCATCTGCTGGTTCCCTCCCCAGATGGCCACAGTGGTTGGAGCTGCACCAGTCTGAAGCCAGGAGCCAGGAGCCAGGAGCTTCTTCCGTCTCCCACACAGGTGCAGGGCCCAAGCACTGGGGCCCTCCCTTGCCGCCTTCCCAGGAGCATCAGCGGGCTGCTGGCTCAGAAGTGGAGCAGCCAGGACTCAAACCAGGGCTGCCATTCCTGCAGACTGGGGCTTAACCCATATGGATCCTCACAAGCAGTGTACCCACACTACCCCCAACCCTCTGAACAATTAAGCATGGTCCTCGACTCGATCCGCAGACAGCTGGGAGATGCCACCACGACTTGGCTGGACGCGGCCATCTGTGGAGACCCCGTGGAGACCCCTGTCCTGCTACTGAGCACCCAGCGCATCTCTTATGGCGGCCTCCACCCTGACCGTGCCGAGGATGGCCGGCGGCGCCACGGCACTCCACGGTCAGAGCCCGCTCCGGATGCTTCTTAGCCAGAGCAGAGTTTAGACGTCCTGTGGGATTCAGAGTCCCGGAGAAACTGCTCAGGATGGGCACAGTTGTTATGTATTGTTGGTTACGATAAAACTCTCGCTCCTTTGGAAAAACAAACAGACAAACAAACCAAAACCTCTTAGGGGCGAGCGGTGCAGGGCAGTAAGCTGCCATTGTGGTGCGGCCTCCCGTATGGAGCCCCGGCTGCTCCACTTCTGATCCAGCTCGCTGCCAATGCACCTGGGAGAGCAGTGGAGGATGGTCCAAGTGCTTGGGTCCCTGCCACCCACGTGAGAGACCCGGATGGAGCTCCTGGTTCCTGGCTTTGCCCTGGTCCATGGCTGGCTGCTGTGGACATTGGGAGAGTGAACCAGTGGATACAAGAGCTCTCTCTCTGCCTTCAAATAAATTGAATTTTTTTTTTTTTTGACAGGCAGAGTGGACAGTGAGAGAGAGAGACAGAGAGAAAGGTCTTCCTTTTTGCCGTTGGTTCACCCTCCAATGGCCGCCGCGGCTGGCGCGCTGCGGCCGGCGCACCGCGCTGATCCGATGGCAGGAGCCAGGTACTTATCCTGGTCTCCCATGGGGTGCAGGGCCCAAATACTCGGGCCATCCTCCACTGCACTCCCTGGCCATAGCAGAGAGCTGACCTGGAAGAGGGGCAACCGGGACAGAATCCGGCGCCCCGACCGGGACTAGAACCCGGTGTGCCGGCGCCGCAAAGCAAAGATTAGCCTAGTGAGCCGCGGCGCCGGCCAATAAATTGAATCTTAAGAAGTGGTCATGGATCTTAGGACCCGGGCACAGAGACGTGTCCCTGGTTTCACTAGAGCTACATTTGATTGTGTGTGGTCACTGTCACGCTTCCAGAGCAGGGAGGCGGGGGGGGGAGGGGGGGGGGCTGGCGTCCCGAACAGGAGGCTGACTTCCGGTCTAGGCAGACCTGCAACTGTGCTTCCCGGTCAGAAATAATCCTCTCTGGGCCAGTGCTGTGGCACAGCAGGTTAACACCCTGGCCTGAGGCGCTGGCATCCCATATAGGTGCCGGTTCTAGTCCCATCTGCTCCACTTCCGAACCAGCTCTCTGGAAAGCAGTAGAAGATGGCCCAAGTCCTTGAGCCCCTGCACCTGCATGGGAGTCCCAGAAGGGGCTCCTGGCTTCAGATTGGTGCAGCTCCGACTGTTGCGGCCATCTGAAGAGTGGACCATTGGACGGAAGGCCTCTCTCTCTCCTCTCTCTGTAACTCTGACTTTCAAATAAATAAATCTAAAAAATATACATATAATCCTCTTTGTCACTCAGACCTCCATCTCAACACTACACCCATTCTACAGATGAAGCCCTAGAGGCATAGGACTTCACCCCACAGGGACCTGGAACTTTTAAACCACCGGCTTGGTGCTGGGCCCTCTGCTCTCGGCTGAGCCTCCCGATGGCCTGCCCCCAGTATGAGTGACTGGGCGCTGTCTCTCTGTGCCTTCCGTCCTGATGGATGCCCTTTCTCCAATAAAGCCTTAGCACTCCGCAAATAAATAAATAAATGAAATTAAACCAGCCGGCTCAAAGACCACATTGCAACCACCCCTCTAGGCTGGCTTCTCGGGGTCCGCAGGCCCCATTTCTACCTGCTCTGGAAGGCGTCCCGTTTCTGTTCACAAGAAATTCACTCTTGAGTTCTCCCCACCCATGACTTTTGTGGTTTTTTTTTTTTAATTTTTTGGGGGGCAGGTGTATTATAATAATTATATATATATACATTTTTAAAGATTTATTTATTTGAGTCAGTGATACAGAGAGGCAGAGAGAGGTCTTCCATCAGCCGGTTCATTTCCCAACTTGTCGCAATGGCCATAGCTGCACTGATCCAAAGCCAAAGCTTCTTCCAGGTACCCCAGACGGGTGCAGGAAGCCAAGGACTCGGGCATCTTCCACTGCTTTCCCAGGCCACAGCAGAGACTGGATCCGAAGTGCAGCAGCCAGGACTTGAACCCATGCCCTTTGGGATGCCGGCACTGCAAACAGTGGCTTTACCCACTAGGCCACAGCTCTGGGCCCAATAATATTTATATTACGCATGCTTGCAGCTCAGGGAAGGCCCAGATTTTATTCCAAGCAGACCAAGTCCTGAACCTTTCTGGATTCATTCTAGAGCTGCACCCCAATGCAGGGTTTTCCAGGCAGTTCTTAGACCCTCTCCAAGAACTGCAGATATCTCGTCTCACTTCACCCCATCTTCCCCGTGCAGACCTCATCATTCACAGGACTAGGGCTACAGGCCACGAATGGCCACTGTGCCCATAGGTGAACCCTTCTCCCACTGCCATCCAAGAACGAGGAGCCAGGCCAGGACCTCACAGGACGCAAGTTTATTAGAGGGGCCATAACCAGATGAGTACAGGGGCAGGCAGGGAGGAGGCAGGGCTGAGGTCCGGGAAGGGTGCAGACGGCAGAGTCCTGGTGGGCAGGCAGGCGGCGTTTATTCCGTGGGCTCCACTGCCCAGGAGACCCAGGCCTGGCTGGAGCCCCAGGCCAGGTTGGAGGCCCAGGCCATGCTGAGGGAAGGGCAGAGAGGACAGTGAGGGTCGCAGAGGGAGTGCAGAGCTCACGGATTCCCACTGGTTCCAACCCTCCCCCCCCCCCGGGCTCCCTGTGGCTGCTGTGCCCCACTTACTGTGGCGGGAGCCGGGGCCAGGTTCTGTCTGCAGGTGTTGGGGACAAGATGACGAGAATCTTCCCCTCAGGGAAACTTCTGACCACCGAGAGGCACTTGAAGCAGGGCAAGCACTCAGGGGGGGTCCGGGGAAGGTAGGGGAGTGGTGCCGGCTTGGTGCTGGGCAGGTTGGGCCAGCCCAGGAAGGGGCACACGGCGCAGCGGGGGTTGGAGCAGAGGGGGTCGCAGCGCGGGGACCAGGGGTAATGCACCCGCACCCCGACGTGGAGGGGGCACCGCTCGCGAGACCAGGCCCAGTGGTTGGGCTCACCGGCCATGACCTGGAGGTGGGGGGGACAGTGAGTGGGGTGCAGGCCTGGCCCCCCACCCCCAGCGTGCAGACCCAGCCGCACCTCCTCACAGCTCTGGCGACTCACGATGGCCCGGAAGTCCATGCGGGCCCACAGCTTGTCTCTCTGGTGCAGGAACCACCTCTTCTGATTGTACCAGTCTTCCCCCAGGGCCGATATGATAATCTGAACCTTGGCTCCCTGCAGGTCCTCATATATGTCGTTTGCGAGGAACCTAAATCCAGAGACGTGGGGTCAGGGAACAGAGGCCAGGCCGCTGCCCTCTCATCGTCCAACCCCAGCCCACCCCCGCCACTCACAGCGCCAGGAAGAAGTTGTCCTGGGTGTACTCGTGAAGCAGCAGGTGGGCGCGCTGGAAGTAGACCAGCACCATGGCCAGCAGGTACTGCGGAGACATGGGCAGTTAGAGTTGGCCCCTGGCCGCTGGCTTCATTCCCGCCCGGAGCGCTTGGGTGCAGGGACAGAGAGGGCCATCGGTGGGGAGGGGCTTCAATGTGGAAGGCAAGGGGGCCCCGGGAAAGAGCAGCGCTCCACCCCACGACCTCCCCTCAGGGGACCGCAGCCTCGACCCACACTCTGCCCCCTCACCTTGTCTGAATACTTGAAGCATCGGTCTTCGTGGAGGCAGTCCCAGATCCTTCTGTTCTCTGGGGTAGAGAGAGGAGACACAGGGGACCCGGTTTCCACGGCCGGCCTCAGACACGAGCGGCATCAGACGCACCAAGGCCCAGGCTGCCACGGAGCCCACGTCTTACTGACGGCCTCCCGCCTGCCATCCTGGGGGTGCCCGGGAGGGCGTGGGCAGGGGGTAGCCCTTTTCTGTGCTCACCTTTGGCCCTCCACTCCTCCCCTGCCAGCCCCACCACCAAGCCCGACACTCACCCAGCAGGTTGAGGAAAACCCGGAGCTGGCGGCGCTGGAGGAAGGGAAGGAGCCCAGAGTTCCAGTCTGGAAAGCCCCAGGCCTCCAGCCCCTCCTGAGAAGTCGGCATGGAGACCGAGGCAGGCACTAGGCTGTCACTCATCTCGAGGGGCGGGAGCAGGGCGACCTGCAGAGAAGACAGCCTCAGGACTCCACACCTTGGCCCCTGGGCCTCGCCCACGTTAAGGGATGGCAAGGCTGGTCCGCCGGAGACCAGGACCGGGAGTGCAGGGTGGGGAGGCAGAAGTTGGGGACCCAGAGAACGCAGCTGGGAGGATGCATAGGGGGCCCGGGACGCCAGAAAGAAGCAAAGAGGCGCTGGTGGTTGCGCACCGGTGCACCGAGCCTGGCCCGAGCCCCGCGCTGCAGCCACCGGCGGAGGCTTCCTAAGGCCAGGGCTGGGTCTGATCCCATCCGCAGGTGGGAGCAGCGGAAGATACTTTTTCAAAGGAAGTAACTGAGGCTGAGGCCTCACAAGCAGCTAAAGATGGAGGCCGCCCGCCTCCCAAAGCACCCACCTTTGTCGCGCCCCTTGGTGCCCCCTCCACCCCCACTCTGGCTCCCGCAGGAACCCTGGCTTACCTGAGCTCAGAAGGCGTCTGAAGAACTGCGTGCAGCCAGCAGCTTTTATAGTCCAAGGCCCGCCCCGCCCCTCCCTGCCCCACCCCGCCGCACCCTCGCTCCAACCAATCAGGCCTCTGCTTTGGAAGGGGAGGGGTTTGGCTCCACCTATGGCTTGCTTCTTGTAGATCCTGCAGCCACGCCCAGCGGCCCGCTCCCTCTGCCTCCGTGGCCTGCCCTCCGCGCCCCCCCGGACCCCACTAAGAGCCTGCTCCTGTTCCATTCCTGGGCTGGTCGCCGGCCTCCCCCAGGAAGGAAGCTGAGGGTCCCGGGGCCTCGGCACGGGTGCCCAGGCTGGAGCCGTGCTTCGTGTCGCCCAGGGCAGCCCCACGGAAAGCGACAACCACCAGCAGAGAGCTGGGCCGAGCCAAGGTTCCACGGGGGCTCTGGAAAGCCCCACACGAGAGGATACTCGCTACAGTCGGATGGATCCCCTAGACAGGCCGGCCCCCCAAAATCAGGCTGGAGTCCGTACCGGGTCCATGGCTTCATCCCCACCCCCAAGATGCCTCCACCCCTTCCTTGGGAGCCAGTGACATCTCCACATCATGGAAAAAGAGTTTTAATTTTTTTTTATTTTGAAAGAATTGAGAATCACATAAATATCACTTAAGGCAATGTGGGTTTGGGGTTGGTCTTGGGGCGCAGTGTGTTCAGCTGCTGCCTGTGACGCTGGATCCCACGTGGATACCAGTTCCCATCCCAGCTGCTTGCTAATGTGCCTGGGAGAGCAGCAGAAGATGCCCCTGCACCGTGTGGGAGACCCAGAAGAAGCTCCTGGCTCCTGGCTTCAGATCGGCGCAGCTCTGTCCTTTGCGGCCATTTTGGAAGGGAACCATTGGATAGAAGATCTTTCTCTCTCTCTCTCTCTCTCTCTCTCTCTCTCTCTGCCTTTCTGTAACTGTTCCTTGCAAATAAATGAAAATAAATGAATAAATCTTTTTAGAGTCTTATACAAAAATTAGCATCATGTTTTAAAACAGCAAAACACAACCGTGGCTCTCCCCTCCTCCTGCTGTGTTACCATCTTGGTTTGTATTCACAGCACAGACAACTACAAGTACATGGCAGACCTAATTCAGATGTCCCAGTTTTATGGGCATTCAACATTTTTTTTTAGGATTTATTTCATTATTTGAAAGAAATACAAATAGACAGAGGTATCTTCCACTCAGTTGTCCACTCCCCAGATGGCTGCAAAGAGCAGAGCTGGGCTGATCTAAAGTCATGATGAAGGTCGTGCACATGGGTGCAGGGGCCCAAGCACTTGGGCCATCTTCCACTGCTTTCCCAGGCCACAGCAGAGAGCTGGGTCGGAAGTGGAGGGCAGTAGTCAAACCAGCACTCATGGGATGCAGGCACTGCAGGCGGAGGCTTTACCTGCTGCGCCACAGGGCAGGCCCGAGGCTGGCTTTTTCACTCACCACAATGCTCTTGAAATCCCATCAGGTTGGTGCACTTATGTGAGGTGTCAAAAAAGTTCATGAAAAATGCATATGAAAAATCTTATGATTGGATTTAAATTTTTTTTACCAAAGTAAGCTTTTTAATTTCATTTTCCACAAACTTCTTTGCTATTTATTTTTGTGGTTTTTTAAAATTATTTATTTATTGTGAAAGGCAGAGTGACAGAGAGAGAGATTGAGCTTCCATCTGCTGGTTCACTCCTCAAATGGCTGCAACGGCCAGGGCTGGGGCAGGACCAAACCAGAAGCCAAGAACTCCGTCCAGGTCTCCCACGTGGGTGGCAGGGACCCAAGTTTGGGCCATCTCCTGCTGCTTCCCCAGGTTTATCAGGAGGGAGCGGGATTGGAAGAGAGGCAGCCGGGACTCGAACACGGCACCCACGATGTGGGATGCTGACACCGCAGGCGGAGGATTAACCCACTGCACCACGGAGCTGGCCCTAAAGATATTTCTGCCTTGCTCTCTCAGCTGTTCTTTTCTTCTTTCTTTTTGAAAGGATTTATTCATTCATTTGAAAGTGAGAGTTACAGAGAGAGGGAGACAGATACAGAGATCTTCCATCTGCTGGTTCACTCCCCAAATGACTGCGATGGCCAGGGCTGGGCCAGGCCAAGCCAGGAGCCAGGAGCTTCTTCCGGGTCTCCCAAGTGGGTAGCAGGGGCCCAAGCACTCGGGCCATCTTCTACTGCTTTCCCAGACGCATTAGCAGGGAGCTGGATCGAAAGTGGGGCAGCCAGGACTGAATTGGCAGCCATGTGGGATGCCGGCCCTGCAGGCCAGGCCGCTGACCCGCTGTGCCACAGCGCCGGCCCCAACATCATCTTTCACAAAGCAACAGCTTTGCGTGGTGGGGTGGGGGGAGTTGAGATGCTGGTGACGAGAGAGCGCCTGCATCCCACGCCCCGCTGCCTGGGTTTGATTCTCAGCTCTGGCCCCTGATTCCAGCCTGCTGATGGCGGAAACTCCCGGGAGGCAGCAGCTGACGGCTAAGGAGTTGGATCCCGGGATGGTGTTCCTGGCTCCAGGCTTTGGCCGGGCCCCGTCCTGGCTGCTGCAGCCCTGGGAGAGCATTCTCCCTGCTGGAGGAGCCAGCTCTTTCTTGGGGGAGGGCTAGGAGGATTTCCCCCTCTTTCTCACCCCCAGCATTCAGTTCCTCACTAAATCCTCTGTAGCTCAAAAATATCTCCCAAATACATACCCTCCTCCCCTGCCCACGGCCTCCTCCCTGGGCCAAGGCTAGGCCAAGACCACTGCCGTCACAGACCCCTAACCCATCTCCGCACTTCCTTGTGCAATGAGCCCTTGCTGGATCTGGGACGATCTTTAAGAACTAATTCTCTTTAACGAAGGCGACGCAGCCTGCAGCACCTGTCAGCGCATGTCGGCTGTCAGCTCGCTTCTTTGCTTTCCCCACGGGACATAAGGTAAACAAGCAAACAGGAGCAATTTTGAAATGAAGAAAGGTTGTTTGACGAAATTTCTGGGCCCAAGCAGAAATTAGCAAGCAGGCATCACAATGAAAGTGCTGTTTGCCGAGGTCGGGGGCCCAGCTAGCAATTCTCAGGGCGGAATCTGTGGGCTCCAAGGCGCGTGTTAGGAATTCGGGAGGGAGGTGGGCACGGTGGCACAGCGGGTCAGGCCGCCGCCTGGGACACCGGCATCCCGTGTCAGTGTGCCAGCGTGAGCCCCGGCTGCTCTGCTTCTGATCCAGTCCCTGCCAACGCACCCAGAGAGGCGGCAGAAGGTGCCACGCACGTGGGAGAGCAGGGTGGGGTTCCTGCATCCTGGCTTCAGCCTGGCCCCGCCCCGGCTCCGCGGTCATTTCGGAACTGAGCCAGCAGGTGAAAAATCTCTTTCTCACTCTGTGTCTGTTTCTCTGCCTGCCACTCTGCCTTTCAAGTAAATAAGATGGAATTTAAAGGAGTGACAGAGCCAGTGCGTCACGCTCCAAGGCAGAGACTTCCCACAGAGGGACTCGGGGCAGCTGCGGAGGACCAGGCTGCCTGGTGCCTGCCCCCAGCGCGCCCTCCCAGCAGTGCCAGCAATCGCACACGCCCGAGCCACAGCCTCAGCGGACCAGAAAGCAGAGCGTGTCCACGCTTCCAGAGCGCCCCGCATGAAAAGAAAGCACCCAATCCCCGGGCAGCTCTCTCTGCCCGCAAGCTCTGAGCCAGGAACCGGGAACGAGGACAGAGGGGACAGTGTGGCCACTGGGCCTGAGGCTGATCTAGAACCACCAAGGGCAAGACCAAGTCCTCCTGAAGACTGAGAATGTGCACTCAGAGGTCGGACTGCGGCGGGTGGGGGCACGAACGCACCGTTTGAAGGGACAGATTTCACAAGCAGAAGAGAGAGGACAGTAAACAGAGAGGGGTTGGCGCTGGCGCGTAGCGGGTAAAGCTACTGCCTGCAGCGCCGGCATCCCAGATGGGCGCCAGTTCAAGTCCCAGCTGCTCCACTTCCAATCCAGCTCTCTGCTGTGGCCTGGGAAAGCAGTGGAAGATGGCCCGAGTGCTTGGGCCCCTGCACCCATGTGGGAGACCTGGAGGAAGCTCCTGGCTCCTGGCTTCAGCCAGGCTCAATCCCTGTCATTGCAGCCATTTGGGGAGTGAACCAGCGGATGGAAGAGTGCTCTCTCTCTCTCTCTGTCTCTCTCTCTGGCTCTGCCTCTCTCTGTAACTCTTCTTTCAAATAAATAGTATAAAAATAAATCTTAAAAAATTCTAAAAAGTAACAATAATGACAACAGTGCGGATCAGAATCTGTGGATTCTACAGGTGTGGAGATCAGAGGAATCTTCACAGCACGCTGCCTTGATGAGTGAGAGAAGGCCAACTTGGCTGGCGCCACAGCTCACTAGGCTCATCCTCTGCCTGCGGCGCTGGCACCCTGAGTTCTAGTCCCGGTCGGGGCGCCAGTTCTGTCCCAGTTCTCCTCTTCCTGTTCAGCGCCTGGCTCCTGGCTTCAGATCAGCACGGTGCCTTCAGGCCAGGGTGTTTACCTGGCCCCAGGAAAATTCCTTTTTAAAACAAATCTATA